ACCACCACCACCACCACCACCACCATCACCACCACCATCACCACCACCACCAGTCTCTTTGGAATCTTAGGATGGGGGCACCTTTGAGGATCATGGCCGCCGCCCAGGATTTGAGTGGGGAGTGGGAGCAGCCTTGGCAGATGGGGCACCATGGCCTGCGGGTGTTGACAAGGTCCACCATCTGTAATGTCCTTGGCACAATAAAACCAAATGTTAGTTTCCCCGGAGCGCCTCTGTTCTGTGTGGGGCAGAGGGGGTGGGTGGGCCTCTGTGCAGAGGCAGCAAGGGCACAGGACTTGGCTTGACTTCTGAGGGCTGCACACTCTACAGTAGGGTCTGTCTGGGAGCCCACAGTAGTTCATGTTTGATTCATTACTTACTAAACCACTTTCTGGATCCGTTACCAAGAAAGCTCCATCTTTGCCGGCTGCCCCTGCCTCAGTACTGGCACAGAATGTAGCCTGTCTACCTTATTTCCTGGGGTATAATGGGAAGCAGAGGGCTGTGAGGGCAAGGACTGAACTTCCATATTCTCTGCCTTCCTCTCTTGACATAAATGTTTTCTCTTTCCTGTGATTGATGAGGAAATGCTGTGGAAAGGTACGATGGATGCTTCATAACAACATGAGTTGAGTGGAAGTAACCAGAGGGGTCTCCTCCACTGGGTTTTAGAAGCTGAGGAACAGCTAAACCCTTTTTTGTTCATGTCTTCCAGTCCTTCAACACTTCTGTGTCCTTGACCTTCCTAGGGGTAAAAGCCAGGGCAGAGAAGTCTGTCTGTCCTCCAGGTTTTGTCAAGTATCTTTTTTGTGCCTCAATAACGGGGTCCTAGTGAAAGGATGCATGTCCAGCCCTGCAGGTGAGAGCGTGGCTGGCAGAGTGGCTGTCTGCGGAGTGTGTGGAATCCACTCATCAAGCATGTGTATGTTGGAGAGTTAGTTTGAAACCTGCCTTGGCTTTTTCTAGCTATGTGGCCTTGGTCAAATCACAGGCTCTCTGAGTTTCAAGTGGCCCATATGCACGATGGGTAATTAACGTCTACTACCTCACTTTGTGAACACAGAGAATGCATACGGTCAACATGACGGCATAGTGCCTGGCACGTTCTGAGACCTCAAATGTTAGCAGATACTTATTATCCTGTTGAAGTTTATGCATCATTTAGCCCATGCCTACCTCTTCTTGCCGCCCTGTCCAATTTCCTTGGCCCCTGCCTGGAATTTGCCATCCCCGTTCCAAGCCCCCAACTTTTTCAAGATGTGTAGAGGGTCGCCTTTTGAGAATCCCTGTGTGACCCCATCCACATTCTTCCCTCTATAAATATGTCTACGGCCTCCCTAATAACTGTACTATCAACCTGGGCAAGGGCTGTGATTGATGCCTGGCTTCTCTGTGTATCTCTAATATCTGCACCCCCACCAGGGCCTGGCAGGCTTACTGTAGACTCCTAATAAATGTTGGATGAATAAGGGAAAGCGCATAATGTGTATTTGCTTTTTGGGCATTGTGTGTGTGAGGGGTGGGGGGGAGAGACTGGTGAGTCCAAGTCTTGAGGCGCATCTCTCAGAGTGTTTCTAGTGTGTGTGATGAGGGCTTGTTTCCAGGTGTGTCAGATGGTGACTGTGGGATTCTATCTCTGACAGTTTGTGTCTGTTTCTGAGCGAGTGCATGTCTGCGTGGGTGGGTCTGTGACAGTGCATCTGTGGTTTCTGATGCGGTGGATGTCCGTTTGTATTCCTGTGATGGATTCTGGGTAGCAATTTCTGAACAGTATCAGTGACAACACCGCATGCCTGCGGGTGTATCTGTAACTGGGTCTATCCACGTCTGTTTTTGTGACATTGCCTATCTATGTGGCTCTATCACATAAGTATACGTCTGCCTTTGCAGCAGTGCATGTGTGTCTTGAGCGTCTGTGTGGCTTCCTGTGACAGATTCTGGGTCTCATTTCTGGGACAGTACAAGGCTTTCTCTGACAGTGCATGTCTGATGGTGCCAGTGTCTGACAAGTTCTGGCTGTGTGACAGGACATTTCTGTGTCATTGTCACATGGCAATGTAAGTCTATGTGAATCTCTGGAGTGCCTGTCTTTCTGTAACAGTGTATCTGTGTGTAATTCTGGGACATGACTC